ATAATTTCCTTAAGTATCCAAATTTGGTACAGTGAAATAGGTTATCAAGAATTAAATCTTATACATAGAGAAAAAAGTCTTAAAAAAAAAAAAAAAACCCTGGCTAGGCAGCCGTAGCACAGTGGTTATGGCACCAGCCACATGCTCTGAGGCTGGAGAATTCGAACCCAGTCTGGGCCAGCTAAGCAACAATGACAACAACAGAAAAATAGCTGGGCATTGTGGCAGGCACCTACAGTCCCAGCTACTTGTGAGGCTAAGGCAAGAGAATTGCTGAAGCCCAAGAGTTTGAGGTTGCTGTGAGCTGTGACGCTTCAGCATTCTACTGAGGGTGACATAGTAAGACTTTGTCTCAATAAAAAAAGAAAAGTTCTAAAGATCTGTTCCACAACATGAATATATTTAAAACTACTAAACCTCACACTTAAAATGGTTAAGCTGAGAAATGTTACAGTGCATACAGGGTGATCCGTAATTGTTAGTTCTCTTAACCGCCTCTTACCACTTCCCTATGCCCCAAACATCAGACTGGGCCTTCATCTTCAATCATGCTAACAAATTTTACTTTAATGAAAACACCAGAACCCTCAGATGTGGAAGCGGAAATCCAACTTTTAGAGATTTTTATGGCTTTTTCAAAAAATTACTTGCACTGAGCAGGATTTTTATCATCCAAACATTTGCAAAGCAATTTATTTTGTTTATTTTTAATTTTTTTTGCTGTTTTTGGCCAGGGCTGGGTTTGAACCCACCACCTCTAGTATATGGGGCTGGCGCCCTACTCCTTTGAGCCACAGGCGTTGCCTGCAAAGCACTTTATTTTTAAGGAGAGTCTTTGTCAGTTACTGAATTTACTTATTCCATCTTTAGCTAAAAGATAACAGTAATTACGTACTGTTGTAAGAGATTTATATATATTAAGTCACTTTACTCTCACAACAATCATATAAAATAGACATTTAGTACCTAAGAGATGAGAAAATGGAGTCAGTGAAGAGATTGTGAGAACTGCCAACAGCCATACTGTTGGGATTCAAATCCAGGCAGTCTGACACCAGAGCCCTTGCTCTTAAACCACTTTGATACACTGTGTGTTCAAGGAGTTTTGAACCTGAGCCTAACCTAGCAAGAAAAAGCAAAAACTCAAAAAGAGAGAAGAGCAGCACCAAAACATTACGGATTTCACACCTCAAAAGATTTAAGATTAAAACAAAATTTTAAAAGACAATTATAATATATCAAGTAATAAGCCCAAAGCATGCTTCTAAAGAAAAGTAATAATCATTTTCAAAGAAATCTCAATAATTACCACATACTATACTACTTGCCACTGAAGAAAAGCAATCAATAGCCAATTAAACTGCAAGGCACATAATTTATCTTTCACAGACTGCTGCAACATCAGAAAGGGGGACTGGGCCCAGGTAACTAGGTGTCATCTAGGGATACTAGGCAGTGGGGACCACAGCATGAATCAGAACACATGTTTGGGAAGGATCCTCTAGCAGCATCAAAACCTCCATGGACAATACTGGAGATAGTATTTAATCCAAATCAATACATTATGTTGAACAAAGATTAGATTTACATCTAGTTATGTGTTAGAATCAATACAGCTGATCAATTGTTCTGAAAAAGCTTCCTTCTATCAATTAATTCAGATTTGTTTTTCCAACAGATTGGAGATTTTTAAGGCTCTAACTTGAAAATCCCCATTAATTCTAGAAAGTGGTCTCCAATTGACAGAACTAAGCCAAGGAGGATACATAAGCATAACCATAGTTCATTCCTCTGTTCTGTTTCTATAATTATTCCAAGTAAACTGCAGATCTACCTTGAAGCTCACTCCTAGTTGTTCTTTTCATCAGTGAACGTTTATTAAGAAGCTAACATGAGGAATAAGACACTGGGTCAAGTTCTTAAGATAAAGAACTGAATATGATCCCTAACTTGTGAGAACACAACCTAACCTACAGAAAAGATCTTTTCAAAATATTGTGGTACGTACAAGTACTTACCTTACATGATTAAAACATATACTATACTGAAAGATGTTTCTCTATAGTTTTGGGGGTTTTTTTGAGACAGGGTCTCATTCTGTTGCCTGGGGTAGAGTGTAGTGGCATCATCATAGCTCACTGCCACCTCCAACTCCTAGGCTCAAGTGATCCTCCTGCCTCAGCCTCCCCAATAGCTGGGACTACAGGTGTGCACCACCACGCTCTGCTAAATTTTTATAATTTTTGTTTGGATCTACCTAATAATTCCATGACTTATGTCTATTTCTGGGGTATTTAGTGATGATAATGGCTTCTAAGGCAGGAAAGAACTAGGTTCCCAGTCACTAGGCAGCCCTGGATTCACGGATCCAGTGGATGTCAAACACTGTTATTTTGCAATATCCTGGCAAGTGGCATAAGAAGATGGTGAACTATAGGCATTTTTCCATAGCCTTTCCCAGAAAGTCAGGGAGAAATGTGATCAGCCACCACCATCTGGATTAATCTGCTAAGAAGAAGCATTGTAAAGTCATAGAGTGACAGCATAGGACACACACCAGGACTAGAAAAGTAAGAAGGGAGGGAAGCCAGCACAAGGGGCAGTGAAGAGAAGAGTGGTGGCCCAAAGTCAGAGCTTGCACATGGAATCTCTGGGGATCAGTGCCACCCCCCACCCAATATTCCCTTGCATGGGTGGACTGGGGGCCCACCCAATTCCTGGGTGGGTCTGTCCCACCAGATGGAGGGTGTGGAGCATAGCAAACAGGAGCTGGGGACCCACAGGGCTGTGCACAAATACCCACCCTTTTAGGGAGGGCCAGAGAAGGAGTGGTCTGTCTCATGGCTTCTTTGGGCTTATCCTGCAGCACCAACAAGATCCAGGAGCTCCTGCCCTTCTGCATGATCTTCCTTTCAGTCTCCAAGTCCCATTTGGATCACTGAGGCAATCCTCAAGCAAAGACACCTAACTCCCTAGGTCCCAGAACTAGATCCCTACTCAAGCAAAGACACCTAACTCCCTAGGTCCCAGAACTAGGTTGCAATGTCCCTGAATATCTAGCATACTCTCCAGGGGTGTGGTACCCCCTTACCACTCCCTGCCAAGTCTTCAAGAACAGGAACAGGAAGCCCAGCCTCATCTCCTTGACAGGACAATCCAGAATCCAGACATAGATCTTTACATTCAGAAGGAGCTGTCTCTGATAATGGAGTGCCACCTAGTGTTCTCCCTAAAAAAATTTTTTAACTCTCTTGGATACCTAAGAGGATAATAGGAAATTTTAAGCCCAAAGCCCAGACCTAAAGAAAGAAGAAAGGGAAGGAAGAAAAGAGAAAAGAAAATAGGGCAAAGAAATAAAGAAGAAACCACACATGAGGAGAAACCAACAAAATTCTCTGGATACTTGAAGAACCAGAACAAATCAACTCCCCCAGGGGTTACAATGGAGCTACTACAGAACATTCCAACTGGCTCAGCGCCTGTGGCTCAAGTGGCTAAGGCGCCAGCCACATACACCTAACATAGCGAGTTTGAATCCAGCCCAGGCCGGCCAAATAACAATGATGGCTGCAACCAAAAAATAGC